AGTTTTAGTAGAGATGGGGTTTCACCGTGTTACCCAGGATGGTCTCAATCTCCTGACCTCGTCATCCACCCACCTCAGCCTCCCAAAGTGCTGGGATTACAGGCGTGAACCACTGTGCCCAGCTTGGGGAGAAGTATTTCTTAAAGTTGATCAAAAGCAAAAATGAAAGCACAAAATATAAATAAAAATATTCATATTTGGGACTAAAATTAAACATACCTCTTTTAGAAAATGAAAATACAACTTTTAAAAGTGGGGGGAATTATTTGCAATAAATATAATTAGCAAAAAAGATAATATCTCATATAAAGATTTCTTGCAAATACATAGACTAAACTGATAGAAAAGTGGGTAAAAAGCTTGAATGAGTATTTCCCAGATGTGGAAACATGACCAATATATATACTCAGTACATGATCATTCTCAAAAATTGGGGGCTGGATTCAGTGGCTCACGCCCACAGGCACTTTGGGAGAATGAGGCGGGCAGATCACTCGAGGTCAGGAAGCTGAGACCAGCCTGGCCAACATAGTGAAACCTTGTCTCTACAAAAATTAGCAACGCGTGGTGGCACGTGCCCATAGTCCCAGCTACCAGGGAGGCTGAGCCAGGAGAATCGCTTGAACCCAGGAGGCAGAGTTTGTAGTGCACTGAGATCATGCCACTTCACTCCAGCCTAGGTGACAGAGCAAGACACTGTCAAAAAAAAAAAAAGGGGTGAGGGGAGAGAAAATGCAAACTAACCACAATTAGTTATCGTTTGCTCCTGTCAGGTTGGCAGAAAGTAAAGACTACCAACATGAAGCGTTGATGAGAATATGGAGAAACTGTAACTCTTAGATATTCCTGGTGATGATGTGTAATAAAAGATTGAGAAATTAGCCAAGCACAGTTGGCATTTGCCTGTAATCCTAGCTACTTAGCCATTTGGGAGGCTGAGGCATGAGGATCAAAAATCTGTGTGCAGTTAGCTGGCATCTTCCCATGACGGCGCTCTCACTCACCCCACACAGTGCAATGAGGACAAACCAGAATTCCCCATGTCATAATTGATCGCTTGAGCTCAGGAATTTGAGACCAGCCTGGGCAACACTAGTGAGACCTAGTCTCAAAGGAAAAAAAAAAGATTCAGAAATGAGACTATACAAAAATTAGTTTTTCTATGTGAGGAATCTTCCTCACATAGAAACAAACAAAATTAAAAGGCAAAAATATTAAAATACATATGACAGACAAAACTAATTTATTTGTATATGGAGTCCTTATAAATCATTAACTAGAATACTATCTTCTCTGTGGGAAAAAAATGGACAAAAAGATAAGAACGAGTGATTCACAGAAAAAACAAAATAGCTCAATGTCACTGATAATGAATTAAATGCTAACTAAAACCACAAGTTTCTATTTTTATTTGCCATGTTTTCAAAGGTTAAGTTTGATGAAATATTAAAAAATAAAAATGGAAAGAATATTTTCTTTAAAGCAAAAATTAGTAAATAATAAAGGCTAGATACAGAAAGGTGAGTTACTAAGAAACCAAGAAAATCAGGATTATGAAGTCATAGAAGTCTGGCAAGCTGTGTTATTTCAAGAACAGAGTGGTCAAGAGTATCAAACAGAGAGAGGCCAAGTAAGTCATGAGCCACAAATGACTGATGTGGATAATCATTGATGACTTTGAAGATCACTGTTTAGGTGGAGTAATGGAAGTAGAAATCAAAGTAGATTGAGGAGGGAGTGGGAAGTGAGCTAGAAAATGGCAAATTTTTGCATTTCTGAGATGAACTCAGCTGATTTATGATGTATTACCACTTTTATTTAACTTTTGTTTGAATTTCTACTGATTTAATTTCCTCCTAATAATAACAGGATTATTCATTGTTTTTGTTTCTTCTTGAATCAATTTTGGCAGCTTTTTTCCTAAGAATTATTTTCTGTAATATTTAAATGTATTGGCCTAAAGTTGTTCATAACATACATTCTCTTAAAACCTGTATAAATAGGTGTTTAAATTATTAGCAAACACTTCTCTTTGGTTCCTTTGTTCTTTAGTTATTTTGAATATCTGTTAAAGTATATGGTATATACTTTATATATATTATATCTGTCTCTTATACACATCTAGATGTGTATAAGAGACAGGTATTGGCCTAAAGTTGTTCATAACATACATTCTCTTAAAACCTGTATAAATAGGTGTTTAAATTATTAGCAAACACTTCTCTTTGGTTCCTTTGTTCTTTAGTTATTTTGAATATCTGTTAAAGTATATGGTATATACTTTATATATATTATATATTTTATATATATACTTTATGTATATTGCCATGTACATTAACTATTCATGAATGATTTATAATTGATTTCTTTTTCTATCTAGAATAGCCCAGGACTCCAGAAGACAGTCTCAGCATGAATCCTCAGAATTCAAACTTCCTTATTTTACTTATATATGTGTATATAAATAAATAATACATAAATATATAATTGTAGGACTATTTCATATGATATAATTTGTAATATGTAACATATAAATATAAAGGTTATAGGTCTGTGATACATGAGCATAAAGAAATATATATCAAAGGTCTAATATCCCACCCATAAAAAACCCAAACAAACAAACAAAAAATACATGAAGTTATCACTTTAACATGGTTGAAGTTAAAGAGACGTTATTCCTGCTTAAAAGATAATAACTGAAAAATTGCTGAGCACAACTTATTGAATGAAGGATGTTGAACACTGTTGTGTCCTGATTATTCATCTTTCATTAGTTGTAAACTTAGCTTTTTGTGGCAAAGTATTATCCTAAGTAAGCCCTGAGGAACAGAAGTGAATTTCATAAATCTTTCCTTTATTAGTAAATTATGCTAGAGAAACCCTATAGCTGAAATCATCGAGCTTTCTTGAATATGTAATTTTTTTTTTCTTTGAGCCAGAGTCTCACACTGTTGTCCAGGCTGGAGTGCAATGGTGCGATCTCAGCTTGCCGCAGCCTCTGCCTCCTGGGTTCAAGTGATTCTCCTGCCTCAGCCTCCAGAGTAGCTGGGATTACAGGTGCACACCACCACACCCGGCTAATTTTTTGTACTTTTAGTAGAGACGGAGTTTCATTATGTTGGCCAGACTGGTCTCAAACTCCTGACCTCGTAATCCACCCACCTCAACCTCCCAAACCGAATATGTAATTTAACTGTAGTTAAAGGCAGTTTTGAAGATTGTGCTTTGAGGATTGTCCCAGCACTTGGCTGTTCAAGTAAAGTATATTCAACTGATTGTTCTTTACCTTTATGTGCTGTTGTTACAGATCATGACTAATTGAAGAGATTTTTATTGCATAAGGCATTCTAAACTATTTTCCATTCTTCCCCTTACTAAACTGTGAGGTGAACGTGGCAGCCTTGACAAGTATCTCTAGAGCTGGTGTATCTTAGGAGTATTCTTGTTAGAAAGCAGTACTCCACTAGTGTCTTTGTGGCTGAATGAAAGAAGGGCTGCCTGGCTTCTCTTTTTTTCTAGAGGTCTTTTTCATTCCCTGATCCATGTTTGATTGGGAGATTGCAAGATCACCTTTCATAAAGAACAGGAGGGCATTAAGAGGAACATCCTTGTGAACCTTCTTAGAACCTTATCCTTTGTGATCCTTCTGTAGAATTTTGGCATCTTTTAATTTGGATTGTGATCTGATGTTTGAACTAAGCCGTTGATAGGTGTCAGGAGGGCCATCAGCCATCTTATGAAATGGTATGAAAAATACCTGCTTATATATATTTCCTTGTGTGTATACTCCATAGCTGTCTTTTGAAATCCAGTTTGAGTTCTACTTAAAGAGGTTAAGAATCAATATTTGGCAGGGGATGGAGGTTGCAGGGAAGTTTGGGGAGAGAGAGAAAGGAGAGGGAAAAAGGAAGGGAGGAATATTTTTGATATTTCTGGTATAGCAATATATGATGTTGTCTTAAGCATTTATAGAATGATACTATGCAGCAATAGTCAATAAGCAATTGGCTGTTGTTGTCCATCAACTGTAGGAATAGTCAGCAATAGTTGGTTTACAGCTTTTTGAAGTTTCTTCTGAAACCAGAGATTTTGATTTAAAGAGAGTATCATTTTTGTCACAGAAATGTATAGGAAAAAAATGCTTTCTGAAAATGGAATATTTGAGCTGGGCATGGTGGCTCACGCCTGTAATTCCAACATTTTGCGATTCCGAGGCAGGAGGATCACTTGAGCCCAGGAGTTCAAAACCAGCCTGGGCAACACAGAGAGACCCTGTCTCAAAAGAAAGAAAGAAAGAAAAAATGTAGTATTTGGTAAGAATTTTACCAAATGTGTATAAAAATTGTTATGGCTGTAAGTTTTTGAGCTTTTCAGGAGCAGGGAGACTTTTGGTTACCTAATTGCAGTTACATGAATTACAAGGAAAAATGTGTTAGAAACAAAAATTCATATATATACATATGAAATATATATGTGAAATATATATATATGAATATATATATTGAGATAGAGTCTTGCTCTTTTGCCCAGGCTGGAGTGCAGTGGAGTGATCTCAGCTCGATGCATCCTCCACCTCCTGGGTTCAAGCTGTTCTCATGCCTCAGTCTCCCAAGTAGCTGGAATTACAGGCAAGTGCCACCACGCCCAGCTGATTTTTTTGTGTTTTTAGTAGAGACGGGGTTTCACCATGTTGGCCAGGCTGGTCTCAAACTCCTAATGTCAAGTGATCTGCCCACCTCAGCCTCTCAAAGTGCTGGAATTACAGGTGTGAGTCACTGTGCCCAGCTGATATTTTTGATATACAAAAACCAAAGTTGTAAACTCATTTTCTTTTTTGGGTAACTGGCAAATTGAGATGGAAACTTTCTGATAGTTGACTAAGAACATTTTACTATTTACTTTTGTTGAACTTTTAAATGATTGTACTGCCATTGCCTTTTATGTATTTATTGACCGTTTGCTTAATAACCTTGGGTTGATTTTAGGCCACCAACAAAATGGAAATGAAAGAAACTGCTAAACAGAATACACTGTGGCAAATGAGCTCAACTAGCGAACCCATGTTAAATACTCGTGAAGTCAATCCTTTGAAGAAATTCACCATTCCTAAGATCAGGAGGACAGCTGAGAAAGGTAGTATTTCTGTGGAAGTTGGGAACTTTTTTAGTAACTGTTACTGTATTTCTCTGATTCTTATTTTATGTTCATCTTTTATTTTGACTCTATATAAAATTAGATTAATTCAGGTCTCTAATTCCTTAAACATACATGTACTTATGTTTCCACACAAAATAGAATAGATGCATGTTCTGCATCCTTCCCACAAAGTACACCTAAAATCCCTGGACATTTTTATAAAACAAATATGAGAAGACTTTCAAAACTGGAGAACACACACCAACTAGAGAATCTGGAACTCAGGGAATGACATAGCAGTAAGTTCCCTGGATTTTCTTTTTGTTTCCTCCATATCTCAGACTGGATGCCCCCAACAAGAGAAATGCCGCCTGGTGCAGACCTCCCCCAGAAGTCCCAAGTAAAACCTCTTCTTTCTTGCCAGTGGACTAAGAAAGGGGCAGCCTAGAAAGTTGGAAACCTGTTTGACATTAAATATACCCCTCCCGTTTCCCACTGGGGTGATGTCAAAGGAAGTTGAGTGGGGATCCTGGACTCTGACCCCCTACCCAGCAGGAACAAGGTACCCCTTTCCTTCCCTATGATGCCAGTGGTGATCCAAGTAGGATCACACAGCCATAACGCATTCTCTTCCCTGCCATCATCCTGCTCCTGAAATGTCAGTTGATACCTACCCCTGCTTTGTGGTGATGAGTTGCCCTTTCCACTAGGGTTAGAGTCAGTGAACAAAGTGGAGAGCCTAGACCTCCACCACATCCAGCAGTAACAAGGCCTCCTTCCACAGTGTTGGTGGAGGATAAGTGGGGACCATGGACTTCCAGCCCTTTCCAGTGGTAACAGGATACTCCCCAGTGAGTAAATGGAAGCCCTGTGGAAAGCCAGAACTTCACCTCTGCATAGTAGTAGAGTCAGTGCTCCCCTTTCCCTGCCAGCCATTGTTCCTGCCAGCATAGTTTTAGTAAAGTGTTGCTGAAGTGCAAGATTAAATATAATCCAGAGTCTCATAAAAATGCCCCAGTTGACCAGGATATAATAAAAATCGCTCATCTTAACACACACCAAGAAAATCTCAACTTGAATGAGAAAAGATAACAAATGCCAACATCAAGATTGACACAGGTGTTGGAACTATAATTAACTGAGAGACTTTTAAAGCAGCTACCATAAAGATATTTGGACAAGCAGTTACAGACACTTTTGAAACAAACGAACAGCTAGAAAATCTCATCAAAGAAATGAAATATGTAATAATCGAATAGAAGACTTGGAACTGATAATTTAATTAAAATAAAAACTCAGGCAAAAACTAATAGAACTACAAGGAGAAATAGAGAAATCTACTATTATAGTTGGAAATACCCCATTATCAAAAATGGGCATATTGCCAACAGACAGAAAATCACTAAGGACATAACTCAGCAACACCGTCAATCAACTTGATACAATAGACATCTGTAGACTATTCCATTCAACAGTAGTATGTTAGACATTCTTCTCAAGCACACCCAAGACTCACCAAGATAGACCGTACCTTGGCCATAATACACATGTTAAGAGATTTGAAATAGTAGAAATCATAGTCACCTCTCAGACCATGTATTAATCCATTTTCACACTACTGATAAAGATATGCTAGTGACTGGGCAATTTACAAAAGAAAGAGGTTTATAATGGACTTATAGTTCCACGTGGCTGGGGAAGCCTCATAATCATGGCAGAAGACAAGAAGAAGCAAGTCACATCTTACATGAATGGCAGCAGGCAAAGAGAGAGCTTGTGCAGGGAAACTCCTGTTTTTAAAACCATTAGATCTCATGAGACCAGTTCACTATCACGAGAATAGCACAGGAAAGACCTGCCCCCATAATCCAGTCGTCTCCCACTGGATCCCTCCCACAACACATGGGAATTATGGGAGCTACAAGATGAGATTTGATTGGGGACACAGAGCCAAACCATATCAGACCACAGTGGAATTAAGATGATCAAGTAGGGGGCACTAGATATAAATAACCCAAAGATAGCTGTAAAATACCCAAATTCTTTGAGATTAAGCAGCACACTTCTAAATAATAAATGCATCAAAGGAAAAATCTCAAGAGAAATGTTAAAATACTTTGAACTAAATGAAAAGGAAAACAAAATTTGTAGGATGAAGCAAAAGCAGTACTTAGGAAGAAATTTATAGCATTGAATGCATATATTAGAAAACAAGAAATATCTAAAATCAATAATTTAAGTTTACACCTTAGGAAACTAGAAAAAAGAGGACAAATTAAATCCAAAATAAGCAGAAGAAAAGAAATAATAAAAATTAGAGCAGAAATGAATGAAATTAAAAACAGGAAATTAATAGAAAAAAAATCAACAAAATGAAAATCTGTATCTTTGAAAAGATCAGTAAAGTTGATAAGCCTCTAGCCAGGATAACTAAGAAAAAAAGGGGCACAAATTACTGATATCAGAAATCAAAACATCACTACAGATCCTATGGACATTAAAAGGGTAAGGGATACTATGAACAACTCTAGGCCCATAAATTTGGTAACCTAGATGAAATGTACCAATTCCTTGAAAGACAGTATCTGCAAAAAGTTACACAAGAAGAAATATATGATCTGAATAGGCCTAAATCTTTGTATTAAACAAATTGAATCAATAACTAGTAACCTTCCAAAGCAACACCAGGACCAGATAGGTTCACTGGTGAGTGCTACTAGATATTTAAGGAAGAAGTTATACCAATTCTCTACAATCTCTTTCAGAAGATACAAGTAGAAGGAATACTTTCTGACTCATGCTTTTAGAGGAGCATTATTTTAATACCAAAACAAGATAAAGAACTTAGAAGAAAACTACAGAGCCAAGAAAAGCTCAACATCATTGATCATTAGAAAATGCAAATCAAAACCACAATGAGATACCATCTCACGCCAGTCAGAATGGAAGTTATTGAAAAGTCAAGAAATGATAGGTGCTGGTGAGGCTGTGTATAAATAGGAATGTTTTTACACCATTGGGCACTGTGGCTCATGCCCTGAGGCTAGGAGTTTGAGACCAGCCTGTGCAACATAGCAAGGCCCTGCCTCTAGAAAAATAAAAATAAAAATCAGCCTGTGTGGTGCATGCCTGTAGTCCTAGCTACTTGGGAAGCTGAGGTGGGAGGAACGCTTGATCCCAAGAATCAAGCAGAAATGTAAATGTAAATTAGTTCAACCATTGTGGAAGACAGTGTGGCGATTCCTCAAGAATCTAGTACCAGAAATACCATTTGACCCAGCAATCCCATTACTGGGTATATACCCAAAGCCTGAATCATTCTACCGTAAAGACACATGCACACATATGTTTATTGCAGCAGTATTTTCAGAAACAGAGACATGGAACCAACCCAAATGCTCATCAGTGATATAGACTGGATAAAGAAAATGTGGTATATGTACATCATGGAATACTGTGAGGCCATAAAAAGGAATGAGATCATGTCCTTTGCAGAGACATGGGTGAAGCTGGAAGCCATCATCCTCTGCAAGTACAGGAACAGAAAACCAAACACCACATGTTCTCACTCATACGTGGACGTTGAACAATGAGAACACATGGACACAGGGAGGGAAATAACACACACCAGGATCTATTGGAGGGTGGGAGTCAAGGGGAGGAAACCTAGATGACAGAGGTCAATAGGTGCAGCAAACCACCATGGCACACATATATCTATGTAACAAACCTGCATATTCTGCACGTATTTCCCAGAACTTAAAGTAAAATAAAACATTTTTTAATAAAGAAAATACTGAGAAGGAATAGCCAGGAATTGTTATCTCCTGGATATTCAGCTATGGTCTCTGAATCCATAGGGTGAGAGTTGGTTAAATTTAAAGAGCTGCCTACACTTACCATCTAAGTTCAACATTATTTAGGAAGCTGAAGCAAGAGGATGGCTTAAGCCCAGGAGTTCAAGGCTGCAGTGAGCTATGATCACAGTACTGTACTCCACTCTGGATGACAGAGTGAGACCCTGTCTCTTAAAAAAAAAAAAAAAAAGAGAGAGAGAGAGAAATAAAATTGACATAAAAAAATAATAAAATTGACATTAAAAAAAAAAAAAAAACTACACTGCCAGTCATGGTGGCTCATACCTGTAATCCCAGCACTTTGGAAGGCCAAGGTGGGAGAATTGTTTGAGCCCAGGAGTTTGACATCAGCTTGGCAACATGGAAAAATCCCATCTCTACAAAAAATACAAGAATTATCCAGGCATGGTGACATGTGCCTGTGGTGCCAGCTACTCAGGAGGCTGAGGTGGGAAGATCACTTGAGCCTGGGAGGTCAAGTCTGCAGTGAGCCATAATTGTGCCACTGTGCCACTGCACTCCAACGTGGGCAACAGAGCGAGACCCTGTCTGGAAAAAAAATAAAAACCACAGACAAATATCACTCATGAAGATAGATGCAGAATTTTTCAGCCAAGTATCAGCAAATCAAATTCAATAATGTAAAGAATTTTATAGCTGGGCATATGCCTGTAATCCGCACTTTGGGAGGCTAAAGTGGGAGGATCACTTGAGGTTAGGAGTTTGAGACCAGCCTGTGCAACACAGCAAGGCCCTGTCTCTCGAAAAAAAATTTTAAATCAGCCTGGTGTGCACACCTGTAGTCCTAGCTACTTGGGAAACTGAGGTGAGAGGATTGCTTGATCCCTGAAGGTTGAGGCTGCAGTAAACCATAATCACACTTCTGCACTGCAGCCTGGGCAAGACTGTCTTTAAGAAAGAATTTCACACCAGTACCAACTGGAATATATCCCAGGTATGTAAGGCTGGTCCACCATTTGAAAGTCAATTAATGTAATCCATCATCTAAAGAGGAAAAATCATATGATCATATCAATAGATGCAAAAAAAAAAAAAAAGCATTTGACAAAATCTAACACCCATTCATGTTAAAAAGCTCTCAGTAAACTAGGAATAAAGAGGAATTTCCTCAACTTGATT